ATCTAGCATACTACTTCCTAAGGACCAAAAGAAGCTTGTTTTTAGTGAAGCCCCACTGCATTCATAAAATGTGAGGGCAAGGCATCTAACTAAGCCAGAGAACGAAAGTAAGTGTTGGGACTCCTTTGTTGCTTATCAGTGATCGCATGGGACCCCGGAATGAAATGAAAGTGTGTTGATACTAGATATATCAAAATCTGTAATGAATTTGGGAAACTTAATTACACAAAGTCATTCATGGCTGACCCAATGAATTCAACTTTTACTAATGTTCTCTGGAGGAGTTAGGCTTGTCACACTAATACAGTGACCCCCCCATCCTAATGCCAAATGCACAGACCATGACAGTAGATCTGAGTTGACAATGAACTCACAGATCCAAAAGAACATACAGGTCCTAAAGAAGTACCAAAGTAGAAATATGAGAACTGATGGCCACTACGTGCTGATGTTCCACAAACTTATGAACAGAAAAGTGCTCATCCTGGGGTAATGATATATGCATGAATGGAAAAAGTTCACCCCTATCCCTCAACATTTCATGATGCTTGTGTGCATCTCTGGGATGGGGGGGTGTATCCCAAGACATGCTTACATTTCAGGATGTGTTCTTTCAAGACACCTATATTTGAGATGTCACCCCACTATGGCTAACATTTCAAAAAGAGGTTGTGTGAAAGAACACATCCTGAAATGTAAGCATGTCTTGGGATACACCCCCCCATCCCAGAGATGCACACAAGCATCATGAAATGTTGAGGGATAGGGGTGAACTCTTCAATTCATTCCAAATGCCCCAAGACTATTGATATCAGACTATTGATATTTTATCAGACTTGATAAAACTGAAAGCAGCAACCAACCCACAAATATTATCAATCTCTCCACACACAAGCTTACCAAAACTGAAAAATCTGTCCTTTCTAAAGGCCTAAATTTCTGTCCAGAAAAATACCCTAATAAAATACTTCAATGTGGAGAACTAGAAGAATTCTTCCGAT